CACAGAAGCTGTGTGGTTAAAAAAAAGAGCAAAAGAAAAGATTCACAATATCGGAGCGATGAATCTGGGGCACCGTTGGGTTACACGAATGCTTCAAGGCCTTCCTTACACTGCTCAAATAGATACCGGGCACTCATATTATAAGGTAAGGTTATAAAAACCATCTTTTAAGATCATTTTAGTGAAAGTTTCATGCTTCAAGGCGTACCATTCACTGCTCAAATACTAAACAACCTGCTTCCATTGAAGATATAAAGGGCGCTCATATTATAAGGTAAGGTTATAAAACCACCTTTTAAGATCATTTTAGTGAAAGTTTCATGTTCCAGCTCATAGAATTTAAGAACAATGATGAATAAATCATTTTCGAGCAAAATTTAAATGGCCGGCTGAATATATTACCGCAGGAGACGCAGCCGCGGAATTTAAATGACCGCATCAAAGGGTTAAGTATTTTCTTAATCGTTCTATTCTTGCTAGCACGTATAGCAGGCAGAGTACACAGTAATTTTTAACCAACTTTTTCAACATTTGAATATCACTTTGTTTATCACTATTCACAAATTAATTTGTTAACTATAGTCTTTACAGATTCAAGTATTTTTATTTTTGGTTCGAAAGTCTGGGGAGTGGATGAGAGGATGATAATGAAGTAAAAATGGAGATTATGTTGCAAAGATGCATACTAAATTAGACTCACTTAGGACAGAGTCCAATTTTACCATCAAATGGAAATGTTAACATGGTAGCATAGTAGGTTGAGGCACTACACTGCAAGCCAAGAGGTCACAGATTGGATTCCCAATGAGGTCATGAGATTTTTCAATTGACCTAGTCCTTCCAGCTGCACTGTGGCCCTTGGGTCAACTCAGCCTCTAACAGAAATGAGTTCCAGGAATCTTTCTGCAGGTAAAGGTTGGCCAGCTCATAAGGCTGACAACCTCACCACAGTCTGTGAGCCAGTTGTCTAGAAAATGTGGAAGCCTCAAGGTTTCACAACCCTATTAAGCAGGTGGGATAGTGTAGTGGATATAGTGAGTGGCAGTGGCCTGGACAACTGAGGGGTTGGAATTTCTGTTGTAGTAAGGAAAAGAATTTTCTCTTCTTCATGTCTTCCAGGCTGGTTCTGGGGCCCACCCAGACACCTATCCAATGGGTACCAGAGACTCTTACACCTAGGGTAAAGCGGCCAGGGCTTTAAGCTGGCCACTCATCTCCAGCTAGTGCTGAGGTCAAAAAAAGTGGATCTATAAATCCACTACCCCATTTGTCTGCATGGCGTAGTGCTTAATTAGTTAAGCACAAAAATAACGTTACCTTTTTTTAAGTCTTCTCAGTTTTTGTTATGATTGTGGTAATGGACATAGAGGTCATGTGACAGCTGGAAATTTCTTTTAAAGCTGAGTATCAGTCAGCTGCTTTGGGAATACCCTGTACTATGTTGTTTCTTCTGTTAAATTTTAGAGACTGAAATCATATTCTATCAAGCCAGCATGTTACATAATGTAGCACATATGTCAAAGATAAAAAATATATGCTATTGTTAGGTCAGAAACCTTTGAAGGGAAGAATCACTCGAGACATTAGGTCATAAATGGTGCAGGATGTATTAAAGTTGATCCTGCAGAAATAGGATGTAAAGGTGTTGACTGAATGATTCAGATGACCAATCAAGTGATAGACTTTGCTAAAAAGAGTAATGGCAATGAACCTTTGGGTTCCATAAAGTAGGGAATTTATTTACCAGCTGAATGAATATCATCTGCTCCATATTGACAGTTATATAAGTGCAGATATGTATTTCACTTCATTATTTTAATACTTTAGGTTGGTAAAGAAAATGTGCACACGGCATTGTCTCTTATTGAATATGACCCTGCAATTCATCCAGCAATGCAGTGGGTCTTTGGTCAGATGTTTATATGCAAAGACATGGAAACTGCAAAGAAAATAGCTTTTCATGAACGAATCTTGAAGAAGTCTGTCACCTTGGATGGAGATGTGTTCGATCCATCAGGAACTTTATCTGGTGGTAAGTACCCTATTTTTTAATGTGCTTCCAATGGGTGGTTTTCATGTACTATTTGCACAATGTTCCCATATCATCAGTTGTATGTTTATATGCTTAGTTTCTTCTAGTACTGAAATACAGTATCTGAATGTTGCCACACATAACATAACAGATTTTATTTTTAAAACAGTGATAGTTCAGATCTGAGGTTCTTATGGTGGTGAATGTTAAGATTGCAATCCTATGGGATGTGGTGCCATGTAGTTTGGTAGATATGTACCAAACCTGCTGCCTCCAGCTTCAGGGTAGCAGAAGGGAAATGATTAATATAGAATCATTAATTTTGTATACTGGTAGATTTCTTCTTAAATGTAAAATGAGATGTCATGAAATGTATGCATAGCTTTTGATTTGAAAGGAGTAATAATGAATCATTGCAGTTAGGCATGTGAAAATAGATCACAGATCATATGCACAAATTTTGTATAAAACTTTTTTTTTGTTAAAAATTATAAAACATAGTGACAGTTTAGAACTCTTCAGTTTTATCAAACAGTTTTCGGCAGGAAGATCATGAACAGGATTAGGTCACTGAGCTGCATAACTGTTCATTTTAACATCTGCTAGCCTAAGTTCTTTTCAGACTTTTGGCAACGCTTGCTGTTCAAGTGAACGTACTGAACAAGTGCATATGCTGTAAAAGTGTTTAAGGCAAGAAATTAAGTTTTGTTGGTGGGAAGATAATATTAAAATGGATCTAAGGGAGATAAGGATATAAAATGGATATAACTGTCCCAGGATTATGTCATAGTGGTAGGCTTAGTATTAGTAGTAATGAATTTCAAGGTTTGCTGCAAGAGTGTTTGTTTGTTAAATTATACATTTTTGTTTTGGTAACTTAAAATTGTTCAAAAGGACCCTAGAGAAACTGAGTTGTTGTGATCTGGCACTCGAACTATCTGCTGTTTTGACAGAAGCCAGTCAGAATGCCTTTTGAGGAAGTCAGTTAAATTCATATTTCAAATGATGGTATTGATTTCATATCTGTCACAAGGAATTCTACTAATTTGATTTGTTTATTTGACAAGGTGCACGTAAAAAAGGTACACCTTTGCTGGAGCTGCTGGAAGATGTTTACAAAACACAAGAAGAACTGAACAGCAAAGAACAAAGGGTAGCCGAAATTGATAATAAGATCAAAAATCTTACCAGAGTAGCAGAGAGGTATGAATTTGGCTTTTCATTATGTAATTGAAGTGTAATGATTTCAGGTTTAACTCATGCCCTTGTTTTTTATGGATTATGGATACTTGGCACTATATAAGTATACTGTGTATATGTCATTGTTATAGAACCTTTATCCATAGACTGATTTAATATCTCAGCTTAGGTAAATGTTGGATGGTTCCAGGAAAGGCGCTCTAAATATGGGAAATTTTATGACTCACCTGTGTTATTGATATTAGTTTGCTCGACCTCCGCTAGGTGGCAGGGCACAGTGGAAAAACCTGTGTCAGTTGTCTCTTGCGGATTTGTGCTGTGGGAAGAATGAACGTTCAGTCCGAACAGCGAGTTAATATAAAATTTTGTGTGAAGCTGGGCAAGACAGCCACAGAGACATTGCAGCATCTGCATGATACCTATGGCAAAGACGCTTTATCTCGGATGCGAGTGTTTGAGTGGCACCGGCGATTTGTGTTGGGCAGGGTGTCGGTGGAGGATGACACAAGATCAGGCCAGCCTTAGAGTTCATGGAATGGACAACATGGTTTGCATCAGAGACATGTTATGGGAAAACCATACCATTAAAGTGCACATGTTAGCTGATGCCCTGAATANCTATGGCAAAGACGCTTTATCTCGGATGCGAGTGTTTGAGTGGCACAGGCGATTTGTGTTGGGCAGGGTGTCTGTGGAGGATGACACAAGATCAGGCCAGCCTTTGAGTTCATGGAATGAAGACAACTTGGTTTGCATCAGAGACATGTTATGGGAAGACCATACTGTTACAGTGTGCCTGTTAGCTGGTGCCCTGAATGTCAGTAAGTTGACCTGCCACCAAATTCTGCAAGAGGACTTGGGTAAACAAAAACTTATTGCCAGGCTACTCCCGCACACACACTCAGGATCAAAAAAAGGTGTGAGCTTCAGTTTGTGCTGATTTGTTACATGAGGTACAGGATGATTTCATGTTTATCAACAGTATCATTGCCTAGGATGATTCATTGACCCTCAGACAAAGAGGCAAAGCACCAAATGGCAGTCAATGGGTTCGCCAGTGTCAAAGAAAGTGAGGCCTCAGCCATCGAAAACAAAGACTATGATAATCGTTTTTTTTTTTTGCGCCAGGTGTATTGCTCATCATGAATTTGTTCTGCAAGGGCAAACAGTCAACCAAGAATTTTACATCTCCATACTCAGGCATATGCGTGAGGCACTTCGATGTCTTTGTCCTGACCTGTGGTCATCTGGGAAGTTGACTTTTTTGAATGACAATGTGAGACTTCAGATGTCTCTAAGTGTCAACAGATTTAACTTTATTCATTCTGTTCTGTCACGCTAGTTAGCTGTTATAGAATGATTTGACACTGTCCAGTGTGGCTCAATTGTATATTTATATGATGCCCTTACATGTTTCGGTCAGTAAACGACTATCCTCAGAAGGCACAACGATATGTTGAGGACACACTATTACATTGGCCATAGTCATCAAATTGTGTCAGAATTTTACATAAAGATTTTATTTGAGACAAATTGTTGTTGAGTTAAATATTGTTAAAATTCTTAACATTTAAAATCTTAAATTGCTAAGGTTCATGTCTTCATGCTTCTTCTGTGCGTCAACACACAACGGAAAGAGTAATGGCCTAACAACCGGACCTCTAAGGTCTAACCGTCTTTTGCGTTAAGGCCCTTTTCGTTGGGCGTCACTCCTTCTTACCGTCCTTCTCCGGCAGTCCTCTGAAGAGCCCTTTGGTTGCTGGTTGCATCTGCTCCTCTAGCCGTTCCCCCTCACCTGTGGTTACTTCGAGTTGGCAGGTTGCTGCTGCGTCCTTCCTATCCAGTTCTGTTTCCCTTTTTGTTGTTCTGGTGGATAATAGTTTGCGGGGTATGGGTTATCGGAGTGCTGGGCGCCAGTAAGCTTACTGTAACGGCTTACATTTCGGGGAAAAGGGGGGGGGGTGAACTGGAAACTACAGGTGCTAGGTACCGCGTTCTCACTGGAGCGATGAGATTCGGTCTCAGGGTGAATACGGGCCTCGCGTCAGCGGGAAAGAGAAGAGTGTTTTAGGTAGGCACTAATACACACTGTTTAATTAGCTAATCTTGCTACACACGTACATTTAACCGCACTTGTTGCACTTCCCTAAAACACCTGGAAATCTCTCCAACGTTGGCGACCGGATCCCTGGCTAGTTAGTTCGCGGCTGTTTCTTTTAGCACAACCCCTAGAATTGCACTTTCACTTATACTTTTAGCACAAAGAAAATTTCACGTTAAATTTAGAAGAGTTATCCAGAGATTGTTCCTGCAAACACTTAAACATAATTTTGGCTGTACACTTGGAGGGTTGTTCAGAGACTCTCCTCTCGCAGACTGACCCTGCTTAGAAGCAAGAAATCTTCGCGGCTTCAGCTCCACCTCCAAGTTACTACCCTAATTTCTGCTGATTGGAACAATTCGAATTTAGGGAGTTAACCATAATTCTCACTGCTCCAATCACATAACTGTAATTTGGGACTTTGGACCTTAAAGTCCTAACGTCGTTTTAGACAGCTGCTTGAAAAATTATACCAGTAGCGTGGGTTGCTGGCCTTCCCACTTTTGACTTATGGGGTTCAAAACTTGTCAAGTGTAACTTTACCAAAGGATCCCGCCGTTCAACTTTCTAACTGAATTTCCAGGAAAACTGCGGGGTGCTTCCTGTCTGGTCTTTGTAGCAGTGAAGCAGGCCCTATTCTTGAAACCAAGAATCGGGCTAAGTCACGCTTGAGTGTTCCTTGCTACCTCTTGTGTATAATTACTCTAAAAAGAAATATTGATTACAAATAAAGATGGCGGTGTCAGTGGTATGGCTACAAAGGACAGCAATATCTTCCCCAATCTCCCTTTGATAGAAGTTGATTGGACCCTTTTTTATTTTCTGAAAAGACTGTGACCAGACATTTGTACTTGGACATGCTGGAAAACTATCTTCCAACAAGATGGGGTGCTGCCACATTTCTGCCACCATGTTAAGAATTACCTGTACAGAAAGATGGCTGGGAGATGGATTGGCAGATGTGGGCCCATCACTTAGCCTCCTAGGTCGCCAGATTTAACGCCATTGGATTTTTTCTTGTGGGGTTATGTGAAGAACATTGTCTACCAGGTTATGATCAGTGACCTTCAACACCTGAAAGCATGCATAAGGGACGCTGTGGCTACCGTAACACCAAACATGCTGGATCATCTGGATATTTGTTGTGCCACCAAGGGAGCCCACATTGAAATTTATTGAGAAAGTTACATATTCAGAAAAAACTGATATTTTCCCTTTGTAATGATGTAACCCATAAACATGTGTAACAAAAGCTTTCTGAGATATGATTATTTTATTTGGATACCTTTCATCTGGACACCCTGTACTTGCGTCCATCATAAATTTTCTTGTTCCCGTATGCCTTAGATTATGGAGTTCAATAACAACTCTGCATACTGTTGTATGACTGCACAAACCTTTGAAATGTGTCAACCTCAGCTTCACCATGAGCTTTAGAAATAGTTTTTCATCTCCTTTTTTACAACACTGCCAGTATCTAATTATTCTTATATAGTATCGAATGATAGGATGATTGGTAAATAATGAATTATGAAGAATTTGGAAGTAGCCATGGCCTAATGGAGGTACTATCCCCATATTTGCCTTGAGGGACTGAGGAATCTCATATGTATTTCTTGTTAGAAGTGGAATAATGTAAAAGAAGGAAATTTTCAGCCTTAGTTATTCCTGAAGATCACCAGTTTCAAACTTTGGAGTTTGGTATGAAATACTTTATTATGATCATGTGCTGGTATGCTTGTATTTATAAGTCATCAGCAATCAGGCTGAATCATTCTGTGGTGTGGTAACTTTGGCAGAAAAATGATTGGCTGTAGGCTGGATGGTCAGAGTTCATTTCTTGACTTGGCAGGAATTTTTCCCTTTTCCACCATGTCCAGACTGGCTGTAGGACTTACCAATGAGTACCAGGGACTCTTCCCCATAGGCAGAGAAGTCTGAGCATGAAACTGATGTCTCACTGTCATCTGGTGGTGGAGCATAGAATGCATGGAAGTTTACCTTTATGTCCATTATAAATCTTTATAGCATGCTGGTTATGCACAGGGTCAGTTTTGTTAACAGTATTTGACCTACTGGATAACATGTGTCCAAACACTGTGTTTCAGGTATAGGCAACTGAAAGGGGAATTGGAGCTCATGACATATAAGGTGGAGCTGGTTAGGAGGAAACTTCAGCAAACAGTTCACCACCAGCACCAAGAGGAAGTAGATGGTCTTAAGGCAAAGATTGGTGAGCTTATGGTGGCACTAGATACAGAACAAAAATTTTCTTCATACTTTATTTCTGAAGAGCGATGAACCGTGAGCAAGCAGTCTGTCCTTTGTTATATACACAGTTTGTCCAGGTTCTGCTAGGACTGTGTTCATTAAAAATACAAGACATGAAATATTTTCAAAATTTCACTCTTTATGTTCAAAATAGTCTCCTTCTGAATCAGTACATAGCTTGAATTGATTGAAAAGTTTTCGAAAACAGTCCCTGTACTCCTTTTGTGGAATCGTATTTAAAACTGCGGTACATTCCCTTTGGATGTCCTGGATAGTGTCGTGACGGACTCCTTTCATTGCCAACTTAACTTTTGGGAACAACCAGAAATCTGCTGGAGCCAACTCTGGTGAATACGGAGGATGATCAAGGACTGTGATCCCTTTTCTGGCAAAAAAAAAATCACGCACGATCTTCGATTTGTGGGGTAGGATAGCACAGTTGGTATAGCAAGTGGTTATCAGCTGAATGTCCAAGTAGACGGAGTTCAAGTCCTGGTAGTTGCAAGATTTTTCTGTTCCTTGTGTCATGCAGACTAGTTCTGGGTCCCACCCAGCCTCCTATCCAACGGGTGCTGGGGCTCTTTCCCTGGGGTTAAAGTGGCTGGGGCCTGAAACTGACCACTCTCCTCCAACTAGTGCCAAGTTCAAGAATACATGGATTTATACATCCACTTCTTCCTTATGCATGCGTGGGTATGCTGCTTAATTATTTAAGTACGGGGACAACTTTACCTTTTACTTCTAACTGAAACTAGCAGTTGTGCCTGTTCTTAATTAATCAAGGATCACCCTATGAAGATATGTGGGGGAGTGGAGGTGTAGCACTACCATTCTTGAACTGAGCCCTGGATAATGGTGAGCTTCATGCCTGGTACACATTGGATAGGAGGGTGGGAGGGCCCCAGAGGTGGTCTGGACGCTTTGTAACAGAGAAGAATCTCTTGCCCCTACTGAATCCAAACCCTGACCATCCAACACATTGCCCTTCACTATACTGACTGAGCTATATTGGTTAGTAAAACATCACACATTGCAGGAAACTTGAAGTTACAAATAGATCGTGAAAGGGATTGGTGCCTTTAGTATTAACGCAAAGTGGGTCTGTAAATTGCTGCCATTGAATTTCCCATTTGCTGGAAAAGTTTGATATTAGCCTGCCGCTAGACACGGTCCGTTTCTTGACTTTGAAACATCCCCTGGACCTATTATTCCCACTAGTGTGAATGTAACTGACCATTTCCAGTGCCTTTGTTGGGGCGTGCATGTCTATGTAAGTGTATTGAGGCTCTAGCTTGCTTGCAGTATTTTCATTGTATTCCCTTGTTTCAGAGCTCTTTGAAACTAACACATACGATGGGGTACCCAAAAGAAACCGAACTAATTTTTTTGTGGGCAGAGCTTTTGTAGTACCGCGTTTTTACTGCTGTGAGCGCATGAGCTAACGTTCANAGGTCCTAAACATTTGGAATTACCTATTTCAGTGGAGCTTGAAGAAAATGTGAACCATTGTAAGCAAGTCCAGATTGTTAGTAGCAAGAAAGCAAAGGAACTGGAAAATAAGTTAAAGGATGCCAAGTCAATTCAAGAAAAAGCGCTGAAAAATGCTGAAAATGAGATGAAGGAACTAAAAAGGAAATCAGAAGAAAGTCGGTCAAAGTGGAAACAGAGAGAACAGGTACTATAGTGGATGCATTATTGAATACCAGTTCTATTTCATTTTTGAATGTTGTTGTTTTTCTAATTACAAATTAAAATTTTATGTTGTGATATACAGGAGTTTGAAACCTTGAATCTGGAGATAAATGAATTGAAAGCTTCAATCGAAACGGGCCATGCTCAAATTCAGGCTTCCAAAGGGGCTATAGTCCAATTGACTGAACAAGGTGGGAAGTTACAGGAGCAGGTAGCGGAAGCCAAGGTAAATAATCAGTTGTCATCATCATCATCATCATCATCATCATCGTTGTTGTCAGTGTCAGTGAATGGAATGACCGATTTTAAATACAGTTCCATACTTTTTCACATTCCTTTTGGGCGTATTTAGTGATACTGTCAGAATTGAGACTATAGTTTTGGTTTACAGACCCTCATGTAGTATGACTACTTTGATGTTAATATGTGATGGAGCTGTAATATAATGGACAGTCAAAGAAAAGTGTACACAATGCAGTTTCTTAATTTTGTATGTCTTCCTTTAGCAGTTCATTTAGGTCTAATAATTATAACTTCATGATACAAGATCATCTTGAATTCTGTGGCTTTTAGTCCGCAAGCGAACTGTACCGGCCGAGTGACCGCCGCTTGTGGACAAAGTTCGTGCCAACTTTTGCGGATAGAGGGTGTTACATGGTCAGCGCAACGGTTTCCCATGGCTGTTAATTTTGGTTTTCTAGACTGGAGCCGCTACTTTTCCATTCAAGTAACTCCTCAGTTATCCTCACGAGGCTGAGTGGACTCCATTCCAGACCAACTACTTCTCAGGGCCATCGTCAACAGCCACTACTCATTTTGCTTGTCAAGAAGTTCCGGCTTTTTAGGTTTCTTTATAAAGTAAAAAAGAATACCTTGCTGTGTCCTAATATGATTGCATTGGACAGTTATTTTTTTTGTTTGATATGGGATGCTCACACAAAGTTACTGCTCATTTGTGATTTTCAGCCAAGTTGACACATAATAAAATTCACTACGGCCATAAATGGACAATTTCATATAAATCATAAGCATTAATTAACCCTTTGACGCGGTCATTTAAATTCCGCTGCCGTGTCTCTCCGGCGGTAATATATTCAGCCGTCCATTTAAATTTTGCTCGAAAATGATTTATTCATCATTGTTCTTAAATTATATGAGATAGGATCATGAAACTTTCAATAAAATGATCTTAAAAGGTGGTTTTATAACCTTGCCTTATAATATGAGCGCCCGTTATCTCGGCAATGGAAGCAGTTGGTTTAGAATTTGAGCAGTGTATCGTACGCCTTGAAGCATGAAACTTTCACTAAAATGATCTTAAAA